AAGACAAACCAGTAGCATACTTCTCAAAAAAACTAAATCAATCACAAAAAAAGAAAAAGGCAGTTTATTTAGAATGTTTAGCTATTAAAGAAGCAATAAAGTACTGGCAGTATTGGTTAATAGGGAAGTCATTTACAGTGTACTCAGATCATAAACCATTAGAAAACTTAAATATTAAGGCTAGAACAGACGATGAACTAGGAGATCTAACATATCATTTGTCACAGTATGATTTTAAAATCAAATATGCTCCAGGGAAAGATAATACAGAGGCCGATTGTTTGAGTAGGAACCCAGTATTAGAGGCAAGTGAAGACACAGAAGAACGATTAAAAATAGTTAACAGGATAGAATTAAATGAGATTGTTACAGATCAGGAAAATAATGAGGACATACAAAAAAATAAATTAAAATTAATATCAAAAAATAATATTTACTATAAAAGGAATAGGAAATGTGAAAAAATAATTTTAACTGAAGATTTCAGTAAAAAACTTATTAAAAATGTACATGAAAACATGTGTCATTTGGGTATAAAACAAATGCAAAACAAAATTAGTAGGTTATATACAGCAAAAAATTTAACTACAAACATTAAAAACTATTGTAAACGTTGTGAAATATGCATAAAGAATAAAACGAGAGGACAGAATAGATATGGTCTCATGTCCCATTTAGGTCCGGCCACAAAACCTTTCCAAATAGTCTCCATAGACACGATTGGGGGTTTTGGTGGCTCACGATCAACCAAAAAATACCTACACCTTTTAGTGGACCACTTTACGCGATACGCTTATGTTATTACTTCGAAAACGCAAAGTGCTAATGATTTCGTTAAACTAATAAATAAAGTAATAGATTATGATAAGATTGAGATTCTTCTTACTGATCAATACCCGGGGATTAACTCAAAAGAATTCAAAACATTCCTAAATGGAAAATCAATACAAATGATATTCACTGCAGTAAATGCCCCGTTTTCTAATGGCTTGAATGAAAGACTTAACCAAACGCTTGTAAACAAAATAAGATGTAGAATAAACGAAAATGATAATAAAATAGCATGGACAACCATTGCTCATGACTGTGTGGAAAAATATAATAGTACAGAACATACAGTTACAGGTTTCGCACCAAAATATCTATTACATGGTTCAGATGTTTCCTTTCTGCCAAAGGAGCTAAAAAGAGATAAAACAGAAGCGGAATGGATTACAGATAGGAAAGAAGCATTCGAAAACTCAATTAAATCACATAATTACAATAAACAAATATTTGATAAAAACAGAACTCAAGTTGACTTTAATATGGGAGATATGGTCTATGTAGAAAATGGCAATAAACTTAATAGAAAAAAACTGGACGAGCTGAAGATTGGTCCATATAGAATTATTGAAAAGATATCAAATTCAATATATAGAATTAACACGAGTCATAAAAAGTCTGAGTCAAATCTCTTCCATATCAGTAAACTTATACCAATACCAGAGCCAGATTTTGGCATAGTTGTATAGCTTTGTATAATACTGAAAAAAAATTTAGATTTCATTATAATAACTTACATATACATAGGAGAAAATTTTGGTGAAAATTTTCCTTTTGATGGAGGGAGATGTAAAGAAATTGCATTTCTTCAACGTACATTGTACAGCGCTCTACGACCGGTAGGCAGTTACTGACTACTAAAATAGACTGATAGATGGCGCTGTCTGTAACGGCGACACACCGATATAAAAGCAGATGACTTCGGCCACGCTTGTGCATATGGTTGCAAAGTAAATAAGTAAAAAAAGTTATTATAAGAAGGAATTGAGAGTAATAGACTTTAAATGTCGTTTCTTTGTTTTCAGGTAAGATACCTATTCTAAGTTTACGGTGTAATAACATTGTACAATTACTCTTGTGTATGTTACAAAAGTAAGAAACTTTGTTTTCAGAGCAACGTCATCGTTTTTTTTCAATTCCTGGTACAACAATAGAACTAGTCTTATATATATA